TGGGAGCTCTGGTAGCATAGTGGCTAAGACACTTGCCTGCTAACCAGACGGCTGGCGGTTCAAACCCACCAGCCACTCCTCGGAAGGAAGGTTTGACTCGACGGCACATAACAACAACAACAACAACAACAGTGCATTAGTGCAGGAAAAAGGGGAATTATTTCATCACAGGGAATCATATGGGGCATGGCTGGGAGGGCATATGGGGCAAGGAGTAACTGTGGGTGGGTGAGAGACTGGGTTGCACAATAGCAATAGGTTTCTATCAAGAAACCATATAGGGCATGGCAGGTAGGGCCGGTTAGAGACCACTCCCATTGAAAAGATAAAATAAGATAAAATAGGAATGTCCATGTCAGAAACTGGGTGAAAGGACAACTAGGAGAAATTAATAGATGCTGAGGCAACAAACTAAGTAGACTTTATAATATAAAATATAAATTATAAATATACAGTGAATAAGATATAAGAACTATAAATATACATTAAATAAGATATATAACACTTATATGCAAATATATTTTAAAACATATGTCATATGTTTTTCTGAAAGCATTTTAAAATATGATACATATCATACTGGAATTTGCTTTTTCCAGTTAACAATGTCCTGTGGCCCTCTCTTCACAACAGTACATTTATATCTACCTCATTTCCAACAATTGAGTAAATAGTATTTCATTGTATGGCTCTATCAAGATTTACCTGACAGATGAGCTATAGACAGGCATTTTGATTATTTTCAAATTTTTGCTCTTACACACCATGCTGCAACAAAATTTCCTACATATAAGCTCTGCAGATTTCTATAGGACTGTTTCTTTTTGATAAATTTGTAAAAGTGAAATTATTAAGTCAGTCGATTTGAATAGACCAATAAAATTTTTGTTTGGTATTCTGTTCTCTCACATCTTTGCTAGCTAATAACATTTTTAGTATTTTGCCAGTCAGGTAGAGGGAAATATCTCATTTATTTAAATTTGTAACTGTTATAATTAGTAAGACTTAAGGCTATATTAAATCATTTTGTAAATAGCCTATTTATCCTCTGCCTGTTTCAATGTTTTTCTTTATATATTGCAAATATTTTTCCCAATGTATCAGTTTTTAAAAATTTGTTTTGGACTGTTTCACCATACTAGATTCTCATATGAACATAGGGCTTTTCTGTACTAGTCCATTGGTCTTTATCACTAGTCTCCAAATATATATTTTTTATCAAAGAACCCTGTACATTAAAAAAATCTAAACATAGACTACCACTATATGTATATTTATTAATAAATTATATAACACACCTCTGAACTGTATTGTTATCATTATAAAACATTACAAAGTAGAGTCCTTTAAAAAACTAAAAATTAAAAATTCTAGTATATCCTTCCACAATCTAAATGTGCAGTCTAGATATGTATGCCCAGTTTAGAGAGTACAGATCTATATCATCTATTCCTATGACAGCACTATGCCGTTTGAATGACTGTAGCTTTATAGTATGTTTTGATATCATTATTTTCCTTTACTGTTGTTCTTGGTTGCACTTCTTCAGCTAATATTCCAGATGAATGTTATTATAATTTTGTCAGACACTCCTCCTTCACATTCAGAAAGTTTCTGTTGAATCACTTTATTTCTGATAATTTCTGAATATTCCTCTTCATAGCTTCCTATACCTATAGTTTCTTCTCCTTTCTGTCTGAGGATTTTACTTAACTCTTTGGAAATTTTCTTCTGATCCCTGTCTTTTTTCCTTCAGATAGCTTTTTTTTTTTTTTTTTTTTGGTTTGGCCATTATGTGTTA